ACACACACACACACACACACACACACACACACACACACACACACACACACACAAATACAGTTAAGTATAGCCGAACGATAGATAGATGAGATAGGAGAAAAGATCCGACTTGGTTTTAAACTACTGATAGGACAGGCAGTTTTAGAGCAACAAAAATAGAACAAGAAATATCCGGGAGCGAGGACAAGTAAGCAATGATAACCATTATATTGTCTCCAACTTCTTAACTACACTGGTCGGCCCAGGGGCGAGTGATTAAAGATTCAGAGATTTTTAAGCTGCTTCACGCTCTAAACAACAACAAGATTAATATTCCTGTGAAGATAAGAGGGAAAAAAGGGGTGTGATACAAATGAAGAGAGCAAGAAACTTAAAAAGAGAATGCAAAAAAAATAAAAGATTTCTAATAAACATTCTGAAAGTGGCCCGTAAAGAAAAACAGTGCAGCAAAGACAATAGATACATGCTGTCCTCTTTATTTCAAGAGCTGTTATAGGAAAGAAAAAAAAACAGCACTCTGGGGAGAAGCTCATTTATAATGTCCATTGTGCACAGTTTGTGTGTTTTGTTTGTGTGTATGTGTGTGTCATCTTGAGGCAATTCTGTTTAACGGAATCATTTTACCGGAGCGCACAGCACAGACTGGAGAAAGACAAATCACTTTACAAGCGAGGGCAAGCCACAGCTCGCACACACGCTCGCAAACAGGGACATCCRCACCAAAGTAAATAAATCTCGGAGTTGTCCATGCAAATTGTGCTTGCAAGGAACTCTGGGAATACAAGCAGCGCACTCAGACCTAAATTTAAGGACGGAAACGCTTAATAATAAACAAACAGARGCAAACAAGCGGGACAACAACAGGGTGAGTAACTCCTCCCTGGCGACGCTCAGAGACGCCTTAATGGCTGTCAGGGAAGGGCGTCTGTCTGTTTCTCTGCTCGCTGCGTGAATCAGCAGCAGTGATAGATGCTGATGGTTATATGTGACTGTGTCCATGTAAGAGAGAGGATGGCAATCTCTTAAAGAGATAGCTGAGATCGTCTGAGGTGACATTCTGTTTTAAGGTCATGGACGATTGATGTCTTACCTGTTGTAGACGACTCTTTGGACTAGCGCACTTCAGTGAAACAGAGTTTAATCCTGACCATGAGGAGCTAATGGCTAGTCTGAGTAGAACCAAAACCAAAGTGGGTTGCTGCTATTGTGAAACAACTCCTGTCTCAACAAATAAAGTTTATGCAGTGGTGGGCAGCACTARTCCAAAATTTAGYYCCGCAATTTCTAAAGCGCTTATGAAAATATTYAGGTCCGCAACTCCAAAAGCGCTTAYGCCGTAGAAAAACTAGCGGAAGCTAATTTTAAAGCGAAAGTTCAATTTGACACTTACTAGCTGGCAAAAATTCATGTACAATAAATGCACAACACTGCCAACTGGCTGTGTATGAACCATTTTAGAGCTTAATCCTACAACCGCCGATTGCTGGGGATGTGATTTCCTGAAACAGAACTTTGGCTCCTGGTGTAAAAATTAAAAAGTTGTTGAGGATTGCTAGTTCGGCTGATTCTTTAAAAAGTTGTTGAGGATTGCTAGTTCGGCTGCTTCTTTGTCATTTTCTTTTGTTTGTTGTAGATTTTTCATTAAAGAAGAATCAATAAAGCAATTTTAAAACTGTTTATTTGAAAAC